AGAACCAGCACCCTGCATTCGGACTCCCAGCCTCCTAACTGTGAGAAAATAAATTTCTGTTTGTTAAAGCCACCACTTGTGGTATTTCTGTTAAAGCAGCCCTAGATAACTAAGACAACCACTAACAACACCACCACTCCGAGGCTTGGAGAGTCATCGGTATGCCCTGGACCTTGGAAAAGTAAGGATCCTTCCTTCCCTCTGGAAACTTGGCCAAAGGTGGCCTGGAAGTTGGCTGATCTGTCCTCTAGGAGACGGGAGGCTGAATTCTTGTTGCTTATTTCTGCCGTAGGCCCGAAAATAACTGATGGATGCAAAGCCAGGACAGGGTGACCCACTCCTGAGACTGTAGTAGAGGGTGGGCCAGAGGTGGAGTGGTTCTCCAGGGATTCTGACAATTCAGGAAACTAGGACGGCTCCCTCTCATCCTCCTATCTGCCTATACCAGGGCACAATAAAGGGTGAATGGGGCAGGAAGTGTGGGCTCCTTGTCTTCCAAACAGAAGCTTCGGTGTCCCTGAGCAAACCATAGCTACAACGCGGCTGCAAAGAGAGAAACCCCGGGTGGTGGTAAAGGGATATTCCCAGCAGGGAAACCAGAGAGCTTGTCTGACAAGCATTTGTTAACGAAATTGATCTGATTACTCAGGACTTTTCTTAGCCAATACTGGGGCAGAGAGGGGCTGCAATTGCTTTTCATTCTATTTAATTTCTGTTTTCCAAGAATGAATATCAGGGGAGCAGCTTTGATTAAACAAGCCTTTAAAAGGAGGGGAGAATGCCAGGTTTTACAGAAAGCCTTACTGAGTTGCTGGCAAATGGCCACATGACACAATATTTTTAGTCTATGGATATTATCTCCTTTCTAGGTGCAAGACTGCTATTCCCATTAACACAAGCTTGTAAGTTCAGGGATAAAAGAGATTAGCCTCGGGCTAAAAGAAAAAAAAATGAGGATTCCAGGAAATTAGCCTTTTAATAGAAATAAAAAAAGAAGATTCCCATGTCCCCTGATTCTACAGTTCTCCACATTCTTTCTATCTGCTACTTTTTTTTCTTTCTTTCTTTCCTCCCCGTGGATTGTTGACACTGTAGGCAGAACTGGAGATTTTATAGCCAAGTCTAACATTACCACATCCAACCATTTTAAAAAAATGTTTGGCAAGATGGTTTTTTGTGGTTGCTGTTTTGTTGAGGAGTCTCTAAGGTGGGAACACTGGTCTCACTTAGGTAGGAGATGAGGGAGAGGAAAACCCCAGTGTTTACCGTTTGTTGTGGTTAGCGGCCGTCCAGTCGGCCCCTGACTCATGGCAACCCTATGCAATGGAGCGAAATGCTGCCCTGTTCTGTGCTATCCCTGTGATCAGTTGCAGATCAGACCGTTGTGATCCATAGAGTTTTTATTGGTTAATCTTTGGAAGTAGGTCTGCCTTAGTCTGGAAGTTCTGCTGAAACCTTTTCAGCATCAAAGGAACACACAGCCTCCACTGACATACGGGTGGTGGCTGTGCATGAGGTGCATTAGCAGGGAGTCGAACCTGGGTCTCCCACATTAAAGTTGAAAATTCTATCACTAAACCACTAACAAATATTTATTGAGCTTCTATTATATATCAGACACTGGGCATATAACTGTGAATGCAACGAAGCCCTTTCCCTCATAGATCTTACATTCTAACAGGACAGTAATAAATAACATTTACTGAGGGCTTACCATGTGTCAGACACTGTTTTTAGCACTTCACATGATCACCCTGTGGGGCACACACTATTGTTATTGCTCTTTATTGCACAAGTTATGCAGCTGGGAATTGGTGGAACCAGGACTCAAATTCAGTCAGTCTGGCTCCAGAGCCGTAGTGCTGAACTCTATGGCTCCATTGTGTGAGCCTTATGTTCCCAGATGGGACTTAAAGTCCTCCTCTGTTCCTGTCATACCCTCTATTTCTCTTTCTCAGATCATCTCTCCCACATCTTTCTTGTCAGTTCCTTGAGTTGACCATAAGTTTATGGAGAGCAGGGCCTGTCATCTCTGTATCCCAAGATCTTACCCTGCTTGGCACTCAAGCGCTTGGGACCAACCAGAACTGGGGGCCCGTCTCCTAGTGCATTTCAGAACACATGTGGAAGGTGCATATATCTGGATTCAGGTGCATATAGTCAGTGCCCATCTCAGATCTCCAGAGCCCTGTCATTCCATCACTTCCAGCATGGGCCTCTGATCTCTGACTGTGTGAGAATTCTCTTCAGGGAAGGCTCCACTCAAAGACACACGACTGCTCCATGTGCAGGCAGCTGCAGGCCTAGGCAATTGCTGTCCAGGAAGTGGGCTGGAGAATTGGTGGGGGCCAGGGATTTAAACATCACAATTTTGAGTGCTGCCAAGATGCTTATACAATTTGGGAGGCTGAAGAAGGGTTCACCTTGGCATTGCCCAAATATTTTCTCTCAAAAAATGGGTAGAAACCACCTAAATGACCAGCAAGAAAGACTTAGTAAACCCCTACAGTAGAACACTGTGCCATCATTAACTAACGATACTGAAAAATAAACTTCAAGGGTATTGGAAAATGTTCAAGATTTAAATGAAAAGATATTATCATTTTGATTAGAACATCATCCCAAATTTTTTTTTTTGGAAGGTGTATGTTTGCCCAGAAAAGAATGGAAGGCTATTCATCAAAATGATGAGATTTTACAAGTGATTTATATTTAGTTTCTTTTTTATACTTTTCTGTATCTCCCAATTTTTATATAAAATATCTGTTCATTAAAGCTAGAAAAAATTATTAAATAATAGACAGAAAGTAAACACTTAAAAAATGGTTTTAAAACCTTATATTGGCCCCAGAGGAGACCTTTAATCTGTTCTGTGTATTCCCTCTTCTGGTTGCTCAGCTGTGATCACAACACAGCAAATCGCTGAATTGGAAACCCTGGTCAGCACTTTTTTTGATTCAGACTTCAGGGGCTGTGGTTCTGATTGCCGAACCACCACAGATTATCTGATCCAGAGATCTAAGGTCTTGAGGATAGATTATCCCTCATCCTAGCGGGAAATAATGAAACCTTCTCACCTTAAAGTACTTTGGAACAAATGGATATAAACACATAAGCTCAAATCATGCTGTGGCCCTTCACATTTTTACAGTGTGTTCTCATTTAATGCTCACAGTAGTACTGAGGAGCAATTGGTGGTATCCCTAAGTTATAGGCAAGGAAAGGACTTGTCCAAGACCCTGTGGTGAGGACCAGAACTTGAACCAGCTCTTCTGGTCCAGGTCCTCCCCCTGCTTCCTTGGACAACACAGGGATGGTCCTCCTAAGGGCTGGCTCCTAGTGGGCTGTACAAATAGGCCTGTGGGGTGCCTGTCAGAGCAAATGGTGATGGGCAGGGTACCATCAAGAGAGCCAGGCTGGATGCTGGAAGTTAAGGACTACAAAGAGACTCAGCTCCCAAAACAGTGGGAAGGATTTTACCAGTGGCCACATACCTGGGATAAGATTTAAAAATAGACCCTCTATATCCCCAAACTAGGCTCCAGTTTGGACTGTATACCCTGCTAAGTTTCATTCTCAGTGCACGCTTGCCCCTTCCATCATTTCAATGCATGATGTTTGTGTACATTTGTGTTCCCCACTATATCGAAAGTTTCTTTAAGGGTAGAAACAGATCTTAATCACTTTAGTATCAGTCTTAGTTCCTAATGCATGGTAGGTATTTAAACAGTGTTGGTTAAACTACTAACCTAAAGGTTGTAGTTTGAACTTATCCAGCAGCACCTTGGAAGAAAGGATTGGCAATCTGCTTTCCTAAAGATTACAGCCAAGAAAACCCTATGGAGTGCAGTTCTACTCTGTAATACATAGGGTCACCATGAATTGGAATTGACTCAACAGCAACAGGTTTGAGTTTTTCTGGTTTGATTAAAGCCAAGACTTAGAATCAAAGCCTGAAGTTGTCCTGGGGAGCACAAGTGAGACTACACTGAAAGGAACAAGGAGAATGGACTTGGAAACAGTTCCTACCTAGACAGGAGGCCTTTTATATGCTTCCTGTAATTGAAACAGGACCCAATGACCAGCTTCTCAGGGTGTAGCCAGTCAGGGCTAGAGGCTCAGACCAACAGATCCAGAAAGTTCTTGATTCAAGAACCATTAAGTCTGAGACCTGCCCATTGGGCCTCATCCTGAAACATCAAGAATGTTTGAGGGCAGGAGGGAGGGGAAAAGGGGACTCACTGCTTAGGGGACATTGAGCTTCTGTTAAGGGTGATGAAAAATTTGAAAATGGATAATGGTGATGGTTGAACAACATGATAAACATAATGTCACTGAACATGTACACGTGAAGAATGTGTAAATGACAAATGTTTTGTTACATACATATTTACCACAATTAATTTTAAAAAAAAGAATATTTGATGGACCAAGAATACAGAATGGGAACCAAGCAAACATACCTCCTGGGGAAAGGTGCACAGGTGTGCTGACTTAGTTATGTTAAAAATAAATCTCAAAGAAATTGAAACATAGGTTTATTTTGAGCAGCTATTCTATATGCATATAAGGAGACAATTCTGATTCCAAAAAGAAAAAGCAAATGACTCGAAGTAGGCTAGGAACAATGAAGTTTATAAAGAGAGGAGGAGGGAGAAGAATAGAAGATCGCCATTGGCTACTCTTAATGTGATTGAACCCTGCCCTCCTCTTTATACTGAGATCAACTGACACCAGGTCACAAGCTGGTCTCTGTCTCTCCACCTATCTGCAGGCATGACACTTTTTGAAATTTAAATTTAGTAAAACTGGCTTTGAACAGGAAAGAAAAAATCAGCAACTTTGGGTGAAAAAAAGCCTCTAGCAGGATAAATTTGGGGTCAGGAATTTTGTTATGGTTAATATTTGGTTTCGTGGGTAAGAAAAACCTTAAAATCAAAGTAAGATGTCTGTTATTAATTTTTCTCTTTAATAGTTACATTCTTTTTCTTGTTTTTTAGTATTTCCTGATTTCTCCCTCAAAGAGCTTCAGAATGTCTGCTAATGGTACCCTCTTCTCCACAACAGAATTTGACTTTGAAGCAGGAAACAACAGGTAGACTTCGTACGACCTTGCTTGAAGTACTGTTGGGTGGTTCTTTGAACAGCAAGGAAAACATGAAGGAGCAGGCCCAGTGCAACATGGGGGCAGCTTGGGTGGCTCTGAGAGGTCTTTTGTCCTCCTGTTATGTTTGGGGGTAGTAAGCCCCAAAGAGAAATAGGGAATAAGACAATCACCTGGAAGACCTCTTTCCCTGTCCAGAATCTTTATCTGCAGTTAACAAGGACCAAGGTGTGGGCTGAAAAGAAAACAAACAAGCAACAGCTGCTGTTGAGTGAACTCCAACTTACGGCAACCCCATGTGGGAAAGGGCTCCCAGTTACCCATAGGATTGCCTCAGATGCTCAGTCTGGTTTGGGGCAGCACTGAGACTGTGACAGCTGACAGAGCCAAGTGGCTGCAAATAAAGCATCAGGGTGGAGGCTAGCAGGCCTCTGAGGAAAGAGATGAGGAAAGGCCAGGGTTTGGGATAAAAACAGGCCTTGAAGTCAACTAGGTTTGAATCCTGGCTCTGCCCAGTTGTGAGAACTAGGACTAGTTAATCCATTGGTGCCTTAATGTCCTCACATGGGTATAATCTCTACTTTGCAGGGATATTGTGAGGAATCAAGGAGATAGGGTGTGTACCATAGCTGGCACGAGCAGCCAGTCAGTGAGACGGTGGTATTAATGGCAGCTGATGTGGAGGAGTGGGTTTTAGAGATGGAAAGAGAAGGGTGTACGTAACAGATCTGGCTCCTATAGGAGCATATGGAGGGGCGTCTACAAGAGGGGAACATACTCTTTCCTTACTGCTGCCACCCCATTTTGAGGAAGTGTCAGCAAAGCTTGATTCTCTTCCCATTTGGAATACTTCCCTCACAGTCACTATCTCATTGTGGAAGTGAGAGATAGCCGAGGCCTCAAAGTCTCCACGGCGCTCCAGGTGAACATTTTGAACGTCAACGACGAAATCCCTCGCTTTACCAGGTAGGCCTGAGTGAGGGCATGTAGGGCTCCGAGGGCTGCAGGCTCAGCTGTCTTAGGCAGCCAAGCCTTCTCAGATACAGTGAACAGGAGCGGGAGATGCCCTTTGCTCTGGCCTAGAGGAGCGATAAGAGACGTGAGATCTTCAGTGTCCTTTATCCGGGCCTCTGGACTTCTATTTTCTACCTTTTCTCCCCATGCCACCCCCTTTCCCCACATTCACATGCACCATGGGATTACGTATGGTGGGGAGAGGGAGAGGGGTAGGGGCCTGACATGGTGCCCCTGGTGCTCGGCTTGCCGTTGTGCACATGTAGAGAGTAAATGTAAGTCAGGTACTTTTATAGTGGAGTCCCTGGATGGTGCAAACCGTTAATGTGCTCAGCTGCTAACCAAAAGGTTGGTGGTTCAAGTCCACCCAGAGGCATCTTGGAAAAAAGGCATGGTGATATGCTTCCGAAAGGTCACAAGCATGGAAACCTTATGGAGGGCAGTTCTACTCTGACACACATGGGGTCTCCATGAGTCAGAATTACTTGATAGCAACTGGAAACTTTCATAATAAAGTGCTCAACATTTATAATATTAATAATAGCAAAATCTTAGAGTGCACATCATCAGACGAGACTCCGTAAAGCTCGCTCTTGGAGTGTTATCCTTGGACTGCAGAGAGGTCTCTTTAGATGGTGCCTTCATCCTGAGGGGCCTGCCCACTGTGGGTGATCTAATGGTTCTTCCAGCATGGTGGAGCTGGGAAAGGATCTGGCTGTCCATGGCAGCTCCTATGTCCAGCAGAAGGGAAGGTACATCTGGTGGGAGGGGCACTGACCTAGGCACAAAGGGAGACCCAAGCCTGTTGTAGATGTGGATTTAGGAGGAGAATATGGATTCTGAGCTAGCAACTGACCCTCCAGACAGTCTGGACTGTGGGTCACAGAGATTCTACCTATTCTACAATGAGGTCAGGAGCCAGTGCCAAGAAAAATGGCAAAATCACTTGCCTGAGGGCTAACTGCTTTAATGGCTGTGAACAAATTCAGCACAGGATACTCCAACAAAAAGCCATTCAGCACAGAGCTAGGTAGAAACAAATTGCCATTGAGTTGACTCCGACTCATGGTGACCGTATGTGTGTTAGAGTAGAGCTGTGCTCCATAGGGTTTTCAACAGCTGATTTTTTGGAAGTAGATCATCAGACCTTTCTTCTAAGGTGCCCCTGGGTGGACTGGAACCACCAACCTTTTGGTTAGCAGCTGAGTGCTTGAACCATTTACACCAAGCTAGGTAGGATGCTTGCAAAAGTATTCTGAGATCGGGAGGGATTAAGGTCACCCCACTCCCAGGCTATCTCTGGAGCTGCTTGGCAAACACACCACAACTGTGAAACTTTGAGATGCTAACACAGTCCAACAGCAGCCCAGTTGCTTGGTATCAACGTAGAGGGAAGAGCAGCAAATAAACTTGAAGGTAATGCTTCATATCACCACCCATGGCCAGGTTACACTCAGAAGGGTGGCACAGTGCACTTGTGCTGACAGGTTCCCCAGCTGCACAGTCCAGGTGGGTTATAAATACTTGTGACATCCCAGCCTGGATGTGGGGTCAGGCACTGGCTCACACATCACTGCTGATTCATCAGTAACCCCCAGAGGAAGGTGATGAATGTGGGCTGGAGCAGATGCGTTCTGCAATCTCTCCCCACACCCCCAGGCTGTGAGGTGGGAAATCAGGTTAATGGGAATGCAAAGGGAAAAATAATAGTTCTCCCAAGGGGCAGAACTTGTAAAGCATCTGGTTTGGGCTGAGTCTTCCAAAATAAAGCAATTGACCTGAACAGAAAGAGATCCTGACCCCCAGCTGGGTGTTAGGTCACCCAGATGCCTGTCTGGAATTCTCTGGTTCTCACATTCACTTTGAGATAAACCTGTTAGGCGCCATCCCCTGGACAGAGACCATCACCGGTGTGACTGGCTAACCATTTTATCCCTGAGTGGTGACAAATGTCTGCATATTTTAATACCCTCTAAGAATGGACTTTGTGGACTAATGAAGTATGTTCTAGGATTCTATTACTAATGTTGAGCACTTTAATATAACAAATATAAGTCAGTTCCTCTCTACATGTTGCTATTTTTTTTATTGTCGTTGAGTGTATACACAACAAAACATACACCAATCCAACAATTTCTATATGTACAATTCAGCGACATTGATTACATTCTTCAAGTTGTATAACCATTCTTGCCCTCGTTTTCTGAATTGTTCCTCCCCTGTTAACCTGAACTCACTGCCCCTTGAGCTTCCTACCTGATCTTTCAAGTTGCTGTTGTCAATTTGATCTCATACAGATATTTTCAAAAAAGCATGATGTTCAAGGCAAACATTCTTTACTGAATAAGCTAACCTATTTGATTTAAACAAGCTTCAGGGGATATTTTTTACTTAAGGTTTAAGGATAATCTCAGGGCAACAGTTTTGAGGGTTCATCCAGCTTCAATGGCTCCAGAAATCTGGGAATTTGGAATTCTAAATTCTGTTCCAAATTTTCCCCCTTTTGACCAAGATTCTTCTTGCAGAGCACTTTCTTTTAGGGTTGGGTAGGTAGGTCTTTCTCCCCTCTTTTCCATTTCTTTTGTATTTACTCACAGTCCTTCTCCAGCTTGTTGCTGATGCAGTGTCTTACACACCTTATGATGCACTTACTGAGTACTCATTTATAGCAACAGGCCTGCCTACAGTCACCCAGGGTTCACAACCTTCACCATGAGTATGGCCATTGGCCTTGTCTGCCTTGCCCAGGCTCTGGCACTCTGACGGTATGGAGAGAACTGCTGTAAGTGGTATCAGAGTTTGTCCTGTTGGGGTGGCTACCCTGCCCTGACTTCACTGCACTTTGAATTGATGTTAACCATGGTCTAAGGGTGACATTTTTATGCTGAAAGATATTTTATACATACCCGGAGGTTGGATCCCAAGACCAAGTAAATCAAAAATTTTAGCTTCTGCCAGTTGCAATGTTAGGTTGGCCAAGGAGAGGCTAATTTACCTGAGGAGCTGTGCTGCCACCAGTAGGCTGACTAGCCCCCTTTATGGGGACCTGATTCCCCAGAATTTCTGGCATGAGTGTGATGAGCCTTCAGAGTAGAGTCTCTCAACCTTGGCACTTTGACATTTTGAGCTGGATACTTCTTTGTTGTGTAGGCAGGAGGGCTGTCCTGTGCATTGTAAGATGTTTAGCAGCATCCCTAGCCTCTGCCCACTAGATGTCATTAGCATCCCCCAACTCAGCTATGACAACCAAAAATATCTCCAGATATTGCTAAATGTCCGCTGGGGGACATCATTGCCCTCAGCTGAGAACCACTGTCACAGGGGGAAGGAAGAGGGTGAGAGGAAGGGAACTTTCCTTCTGAGGTGTCCTCTTTTCCTCTGGGAGGCTGGGAGCACATGGTTGTGTCCTCCAGCAATTCCTTAGAATAACCTTTCTCAAACGAAGTGCCTCTGGAGACCTTGTTAAAATGCAGGTCCAGACTCAGTCTGGGTTGGGGCCTGAGATCTGCATTCCTTATAGGCTGCCAGGTGATGCTGGTTTTGCTGGTCCCGAGGCCACACTTAGAGCAATCAGGCAAGTCTGTGAAGGGAGCATCAGCATCTCAGTGACCTCTCTGTTGCAAGTTATCAGAACCCACTCAAAGTAGCCAAAGAAAAAATACCATCTGTTAGAGAAGAATCCTGATCAAAAGGGAAAAAATGCAGAACAGATTTTCAAATTCTCATGGACTCTAGACTTTCTGGAGCCATAGAGGCTGGATGAACCCCCCCAAAACTGTTGCCCAGAGTTAATCTTTAAACCTTAAAACAAAAATAACCCCTGAAATTTTGTTTAAACCAAACAATAGTTTAGCTTAACTAGTGAAGATGTCTGCCTTAAGCATTGTGTTCTTTTAAAGAACTATCTATATGGGATCCAGTTGATAATGGCAACTTGAAAGGTTAGATAGGAAGCTTAGGGGGCAGTGAATTTATGTTAATGGTGGAGACACAATTTGGAAAAGGAGGATGAGAATAGTTGCACAACTTGAAGAATGTAATCAATGCCACTGAACTGTACATGTAGAAATTGTTCAATTGGTGTGTGTTGTGCTGTGTACATTGTCAACAAGAACAGCAACAACAAATGTCATCTATTAGAAGCAGTGGGTCCCATAGAGTGGATGGGAGCGCAGGAGGCTGAGCCCAGCCTCAAGAGCTAAAACTGCACCCCTTCTTCCTCTGGCTCTGGTTTTGGTTCCTGCTACCCCTACCTCCTTGACCCTCACCAGGCCCCTCACCTCCACTTTGTCTGTTTCTGGACCCATTGGTGGGCAGCATCATGTGGCCCACCGTAGGTGGGAGCAGTCTCCTGGTGTGTCAGGTAAGTAAATGCGTTAACATGCCTGCTTCAGTGGGACTCTGGGTGGTGAGAGGGCCAGCCCATTGGGATGTCCTCTCAGGCTGAACAGATGATTCTCACCCAACAACAGCATGGGATGACAGAAAATCATCTCATAAGTGGTGGAGGGGAGCCAGGAGCAGGCCCATGATCCAAACAAGACCCCTGGGGGAGGAGTGAGGGGGACAAAGGCCTGATTCCAGCCTTTCTCTGACTGCTTCTGACTCTGGGTGGAGGGTTCTCACATTCCTTCTTTGGAATTCTAGAGGGAGTTTGAAATTCCCTCTCGCATCTCACTTTCCTCATGAAAGGGATTTAGATCTGAGGTATGATATAAAAAAAACACTTGCCTTGGAGTCCATTCCAACTCATGGCAACCCCATGTGTGTCAAAGTAGAACTCTGCTCCATAGGATTTTCAATGGCAGATTTTTTTGGAAGTATATCACCAGGCCTTTCTTCCAAGGCAACTCTGGGTGGACTCGAACCTCCAATGTTTAGGTTAGCAGCTGAGCATGTTAACTGTTTGTACCAGCCAGGGACTCCAAGGTTTGGTATGCCCAGTCTTAAAAAAGATCCCACATAGGAAAATCCAAACTTAGGAAACCGGTAAATCGTTGTTGTTGTTATTGTTAGGTGCTGTCAATTCCGCTTATAGCAACCAATGTGACAGAGTAGAACTACCCTATAAGGTTTCCTAGGCTGTAATCTTTACGGGAGCAGATCGCCAGGTCTTTTCTCCCACAGAGAAGCTGGTGAGTTCAAACTAACAACCTTTTGGTTAGCAGCCAAGCGCTTAACCATTGTGCCACTAGGGCTTCTTAACTAGTAAATCAGAGGTGACTATTTGCCCACTGAAATTATTTTCCTTTAGCAAAAGGATTTCCTGCAGAGTTATTTTGAACAATGAGCTTCCCTTGGTGCATTCAAAATTCCTCAATTTACTCAATTACCTGTCTTATTATTGTCTGCTTTTCCAAAGACAGTGGGGATCTGAGGAAGATGAATAAGCTGATGATGGGGGTTATCTTGTAAGAAGTCACCCTTGGACGACAGTGTTCTGCCCTTGTCTTTGCCAAGGGGACTTATTTCTCTGTCCCGAGAGCTGACCTCATGATTAATGCAGCTCAGGAAGGTGTACAATTTTGTGCGTAGATTCTGTCTCCTCAGGCAAAAAAATTAGAAAAGACAAGGAAGAAATAAAAAGCAAACAGAGGCATTAGAATAGAGAAGGTTTACCATTTATCCAGCTTCTGGTGGCAGCCACAGGATGTGGGCTGGGGAACAAGGGAGGGTATCTGTAGTTCTGGGCATTATACCTGGGTAGAGTTTTTTAAGAATTCAGACACATTTTGCACAAGAACTGGGAGAAGAAGAGAAGATGGTTGGATTGGCCAACTGTCCTTATTTTAAAAGATATTAATGCCAAGGCTGATCTGAAACAGCACCAGCCATACATGGAGTTGGAGACCACGGCTGGCCGATGTAAATTTTAGCAATCACAGCGTGGCACTTTCTTTGCATCCAAAGGGAAGTGATCTTTGGAAATACAAAAGCCAGTCTCTCCTTCTTTCAGCTGCTGAGTTCTCCCTCAGAGCATGTTGATGCAACTTAAACAGCTCAGCGCTATATTTAGCACTAACCAAAATTCCCACCTTCCAGTCTCCACCCTCTGGTGCCCCTGAAAATTAACTGCGGCTGCTGTATTTGTGTTCCAGCCCAAAGCGAGTGTACAGAATTCTGGAGGAGCTGAGTCCAGGGACCATCGTGGCCAATATCACAGCTGAGGATCCTGATGATGAAGGTTCTACCAGCTGCCTTCTCTACAGCATTACAACTATTAACAACTATTTTATGATAAATCAGCGTAAGTCACACACGTATACGTGCATCTTTTAATGCAGCCACTTGGATTGTTTTACAAATATTTTATTTGTCTTCTGGTCAGGGGCAAGTGTTTCTGTGTAGGGCCCATCATTAGTTACCAGGGTAATGTTGTTAGGCGCTGTTGAGTCAATTTCCACTCATAGTAACCCCATGTGACAGAGTAGAACTGCCCATAGTGCTTTCTTGGCTGTAATCTTTATGGGAGCAGATTGACAGGTCTTTCTCCTGAGGAGCTGCTAGGTAGATTCCATCTACCAACCTTTGGGTTAGCAGCTTAGTGCTTAACCGTTGCACCACCAGGGCTACTTACCAGGGTAATAGCTGTATTAAAAGCAGCTGGCACGGGAGTTGGGGAAACTGAATGGGACCCAGTGTTGCCAGCTAAATCACCCTTCACCTTTCAGGAAAGTGGGTATGTAATGCTGATGGGTTAACTATCCTGAGGATACCCTGAGGTCTTTTGAAAAGGGATCTATACCATCACTGTCAATAGAAATATAATGGAAGCCACGTATGTAATTTTAGATTGTCTAGAAGCCACATTAAGTAAAAAGAAACAGGTGAAATGAATTTTAATAATGCATTTTATTTAACCCAACAAATCCAAAGTATTATAATTTCAACGTGTAATCAGTATTTTAAGATTATTAATGATTTATTTTACTTTTGTTTTGCACCAAGTTTTTGAAGTTCAGTATGTATTTTACACCTACACCAAATCTTAATTTGGACTAGTCACATTTCAAGTGCTAAATAACCATGTGACTTGTGGCTACCATGTTGGACAGCACAGATCTAGATCAATCTGCTGAACTGCTGGTAGATTATTTTCCCATCTGAATATCTCAGTGCAGAAAAGACAAGAGTTTCTCCCTGCTGTTAATAGCCACCTTTTATTGGGGACTTCCTACATACCAAGCATTGTGCTGAGTGATTCACAGGAATTCCATCTCAAGTCCTCAACACAACAATCCACTGAACTAGCATAAACCACATTTTACAGATAAGGAAACTGTCTTAGTTATCTAACGCTGCTATAACAGAAATACCAAGTGGATGGCTTTAACAAAGAGAATTTTATTCTCTCACAGTTTAGGAGGCTAGAAGCCTGAATTCAGGGCACCAGCTGCAGGATAAAGCTTTCTCTCTCTGTTGACTCTAGGGGAAGGTCCTTGTCATCAATCTTCCTCTTGTCTAGGAGCTTCTCTGCTCAGGGGTCCCGAGTCCAAAGGATGCACTCTGCTCCTGGCACTACTTTCTTGGTGGTAGGAGGTTCCCTGTGTCTCTCTGCTCAAGTCTCTCTTTCATATCTCAAAAGAGATTGACTTAAGATGCAACCTAATCTTGTAGATTGAGTCCTGCCTCATTAACATAACTGCTGCGAATCCCACCTCATTAACATCATAGATGTAGGTTTTACAACATATAGGAAAATCAGATGACAAGATAGTGGGCAATCATACAATACTGGGGATCATGGACTAGCCAAGTAGACAAACATTTTTGGCAGGGGACACAGTTCAATCCATAACAGAAACCAAGGGTTAGAGAAAGACTTGGGCAGGTTAAATGACTTGTCCAAGGTCTCACAGCTCATATGTTGTGAAGCAGTGATACTAACCTAAGCCACCTAACTTCAGAGCCTGCCCTCTTAGCCACTACTAGACTATACCACCTACATAAGTCCCCGTCATATCATCAAAAAAGACTTCACTTTACATAATGCTGCTGCACAGCAGAGGAATCTTCTTCCTGGAAGGCTTCCCTTGCTGATTTTGTGGAGGCTAGTGTTGGAGAAAGGATTCCTAATGGTGCAAACTCAGCTGCTAACCAAAAGATTAGTGGTTCAAACCCACCCAGAGGCTCCACAGGAGAAAGACGTGGTAATCTATTTCTGTAAGGATTACAGTCTAGTAAACCCTATGGGGCAGTTCTACTGTGTCACATGGAGTCACTATGAGTCAAAAAATCAACCCGATGGCACCTAACAACAACAGCGGCATTAGAGAGGAGTCCCTGAGTAGTATGAATGGTTAAAGTGCTTGACTGCTAACCAGAAGGTTGGAGGTTCAAGCCTACCCAGAGATGCCTGGGAAGAAAGGCTTGGTGATCTACTTCCAAAAAACCAGCCATAGAATTGAACACAGTTCTACCCTAATACACACGGAGTCACCATGGGTTGGAACTGACTCTATGGCAACTGGTAGTGGGGGGTTGGTATCATTGGATGATCCCAGAAAGGCAAGACATTATTTGCTCCCGAGGCTTTAGGGCAAAGGATATCTGTTCCCAGGGAAGGCAGGGCAAAGGCAATAGCTGAGAACTTCCTAGTGCCCTGGCATCATGGACCTCACCCAGCTGATAGTGTAGGGTTGAACAACCATGGTTTAGAATTCTGTCCACCTTAATATTGGAAAATTGAGCTTTTAAGAAGCACAATATTTTTTGGAGTATGCTTATTGAGACTCTTTGGTTGCAAGTAACAGAAACAAAGACAACTCAATCTAAGGAAAATTTTTAAAAAGGTAGGGAAACTTTATCAACATGTTACTGGGTCTCTCAAAAGAAAGAGTGAAACTGTCAGGGCACAGGGATCTTAGCAGCTAGGCTTCTAGCCTTTGACCTATAGCTCCACTATTAACCCAACCCAGCTACTGATTCCCCAGCTCATGACACTTGGTTCCAAATTCTCCAGTAAGAGAATCAGTGAGTCAAGGTAGAGTGAGGTGTCTACCAGTGGTCAGCTCTGGACACGGCCTCCTTCTAGGGATCCAAGACTGAGGTTTGGGGTCAGTAATTCTAGGAGAGGCAGTCCTGATACCCCAATAAATGTCTAATTCAGGAATTTACATGGGCTTTTTAAAGAAGTTCTATTTTTATAGAGGATATTGTCTTTGTAAGCCAATCTTCATATTAGAATGTTCTTTTCCAGTTTTCTCCAAGTCTCCATATACCCCTACTCTTCATTCTTTTTCAAAGGGTCATGTTCTAACCTTTGCCTTCTCAGTAACTGGTACAATCCAAGTAGTCAACAGGTTAGACCGAGATGCACGAGAATTAAGACAAAATCCCACCATTTCTCTGGAAGTTCTGGTGAAGGATAGACCCCAAGGGGGCCAGGAGAATCGCATCCAGATAACCTTCATTGTGGAAGACATCAATGACAACCCTGCTACTTGTACCAAGTTCACCTTCAGGTATTCTAGTTTTGAGACTTGTGCTGGGCATTTTACCTCTCTGGTGACCCTTGACCCTTTGGTTTCTCTGGTATATTCTCAGGAAGAACTGAAGAATTATAGGAATTTGGGGAAATTGCTCACAAAAATAAGTAGATTTGAACTGTCTTGTTTTGTACATAGGTTTTCCTTTCATCATTTCTGTTTTCTTCTTTCTCTTTCATTTTCTTTTCTCTGTTATCTCCCTTCTCCAATTTCTTACTCTCTTAAAAAATAATTTTTATTTTGCTCCCTTCTATAACATGGTCATCTCTGTTGGTGAAAAGTACCACAGGGACTTGTTAGACCCTCTCTGGATTATACCTGTTCTTTATTTATTACCACCAGTGGCCAGACATTCTGTTAGCAGTTATAATAGATGCTTGCAATTTAGGATTAGTGAGTAGAAACCCCCTGAGAAGCACACTACCAGTATTATGAATATATCAAACCAAGTACTTACTTAAAACCAAACACAACATCTAATTCACCTTATACAATTTAATTGCAAATAAACAAAAGGCAACAGAAAAGGAAAAACACCTTAATTGCATATAAACAAAAGGCAACAGAAAGGGAAAAACACAGTTACAAGTGGGATGCAAGTTATTTTGTATATTTTGACCTGTTCTTTGTCTCACGATCTATTCACAGTTATTTAAAAATAAAGCCCCTTGTGATTGTGGGTTAATATACCCTTTTGAAATGGTATTGTCATTCTGCTAACTATTTTATCAAAAGCCACAAGATTAATAACTTCCCAGGTTAACGTCTTCTCTGTGGTTTGTAACAACTAGTCTCCAGTTTATCAGGAGTCTGAAGTGGCTCCTCCACTTGGGGGAGGAGTGAGGGAGGAAGGTGGTGGGGAGTGGGCAGGAAGGTGAGGGGAGCCCCCTCTGCAGCGAGCCTTGCCAAGAGAGTGCCCTTTGGATGCTTTGGATATCCCCAGTGGAGAGTCTCCTTCTGAGTTTATCTTTGGCTGGTTTTTCAAGTTGAGTTTTTAAAGCTCTGGGTGAATTTGGACACAGACCCAGTCAATATAGTATGACCATACAAAGGAACAGATTGTCTAGGGTAAACAATTGTTGTTATTTTTGTTAGCTACCCTCAAGTTGATTCCAACTCATGGTGACCCCGTGTGTGCAGAGTAGAACTGCTCCATAGGGTTTTCAAAGTTGTGACCTTTTGAAAGCAGATCACCAGACCTGTCTCCCAAGGCACCTCTGGGTAGGTTCGAACCGCCAACCTTTCAGCTAGTAGTCAAGTGCTTAACCATTTGTGCCACCCAGGGACTCCCAGGGAAAGCAATAGAAATATAAATTCCTTTATTATGCTTTTGAATGTCTCCCTATTCTCCCAACTGATATGCCCAGCATCATGCTAGGGAATCAGTGTGGCCTTGAGTCTAATAGCAAAAGAGTTAAACGCTGTTCTGGCACATCCCATTTGCCTCTCCAAATCCACTCTCCACCCTCTCCCAGCCTGCCCTGTGCCCCAGGAGGCTGACCTGTATGGGAAACCTTAATGAACAAGAGATTGGGGGATAAGGAGGTGAGGTCAGAGTATTTATCCCCCTGGCTCCCTTCCTGTATGACCCCTGCCAGCTTGTTGTCCCTCCACCTACTGAAGGTCTCTATTCCTATAAGGCAGCCCTCTCCAAACAGCACTCTCTGTTCCCGGGTTCTAGTTTCAGAAACTTCTCCCTCCAAAGGCTGTTTTCAGGCCTGGAGGTGGTAAGGGAACCCCACTCTTACTGGCTCAGAGGTATTGCACCATCCCTTGAGATTTCCATACACTCTGCATGCACCTTTGTAATAGTCTGTTTACTAAACCCTTCTAGAATTATCCTAAATTGCCATCTGCTTCCTGCTAGAACCCTGATAAAAGTCACAATAGCTTTGACCGTGTAATGGATTCCTACCCCAGCTCTAAGCATTCATGGCCCTCAGAGTCTGTTAGATGGGTGGGGGTGGTTGCTATCGGGAGTTAGGATGGTGACTCCCACACCATTACATGCATAAATGGAACCCACCCTCTGTTAAGAGAAGTCTGGCCCTTGAGAGAGTAGAGATGGTGTGCTAAGCCACTCTGTCTTAGTTATCTAGCACTACTATAACAGAAATGCCGCAAGTGGATTACTTTAACAAACAGAAATTTATTTTCTCACAGTTTAGGAGGCTAGAAGTCCAAATTCAGGGTGCTAGCTCTAGGGGAAGCCTTCTTCTCTTTGTCAGCTCTGGAGAAAGGTCCTTGTCTCTGAGCTTCTCCTGGGTGATCTTCATGTGGCTTGACATCTCTCTGCTCTGCTGCCTTGTATAATCTCTTATATCTCAAAAGAGATTGACTCAAAACACACCCTATACTAATCCTGCCTCATTAACATAACAAAGGCAACCCATTCCCAAATGGGATTATAACCACAGGTATAGAGGTTAGGATTTACAACACACATTTTGTGGGGACATAATTCAGTTCATAACACACTCTTGATTTTCTTTGAAAACCTAAGTCTGGGCTAGCACTCTTTGTGTGACTCCAGTGCATCCTGGGAAATTCCTCTCCCGGGTCCTGCCTTTCTAGGTGCTCCTGCCTTCTTTGTTGCTTTGTCCTGAGAGGTGGGGGAGGGTCACTGAGGGTTGAGGAGTAAGAACTGTGGGTGCCTAGGACTGGAGAGGACTGTGCTGTCTCACTTCCTTGTAGTGTTCTCCTTTCAGTGCACATCTGTTAAGTACATAGTCCGGCTTCCTTCGGCCCAGAGTACCCTCTGTGTGTGTTGAGTTTGCAGACTGCTTCACATTGTTGTTGTTGCTGGGTGCCACCAAGTCAATTCCAACTCATAGTGACCCCATGTGACAGAGTAGAACCTCCCCATACATTTTTTTGGCCATAATATTTACAGAAGCAGATTGCCCGGTCTTTCTCCCACAGAGCGGCTGGGTGGATTTGAACCTGCAACCTTTTGGTTAGTAGCTGAGGTGCAGTGGTATCTCATTTCTGGTTTTGATGTACATTTCCCTAATGAGAAGTGATGTTGAGCATGCTTTCATTTGCTGTTGGCAGTTTCTTTATCTTCTTTGGAAAAATGTCTATTCAAATCCTTTGTTCATTTTTAAATTGGGTTATTTGTCTTTTTATTTTGAGTTTTAAGGGTTTTTCATTGATTATTCCCTCTGACGTCTCAGGACACTAGGTTAGTGGCTGCCAGGGCTAGCTGGTAAAATCATATTTCCAGTGCCCCAGTGTCCCAGGCTGTTCAGGCAAGCCCATACAGGGTCCTGCTCGTGAGAGCACTGAAGGTCAGCACTAAGTCAGGGATTAACTGAAGATAATTCTGAAGATAATTCTAAACAACATTCAAGTCCCTCTTCTGGGCTTTTCCAGCCAGAGTGACTCCCAGTGGTCCTATGAAAGCCCAGGTGTGGGGAAGGACAACAAAGGGGTCCTTCCCCGGTAGACGGGAACTGGAAGTCTTTACTCCACAAACGCAGCCTGCGTGTCACTTGGCTCATTTACATGCTACATGAGAAAACCTGACCCTGCATTGCCGACCATCCTCCCATCCGTGCGTGCTTCCTCCTCCATCCCAAACCATTCCAGGTCCGGGTTATTCATCTGGACAAAGTGGAAGCACAGGAGCAGGTTTTTTAAAAAATAAAACAAAATAACAACAGGAACAATGCAGCCTCAGTCTCTGACAACACTTGTCCCTTCAAGGGGATCCTGGGCGAGGGTCCTTCATGCTGAGTTTGTGCAATGGCAGAAGCACGGGTGGGAGGAGGCAGCCTGGCCGTAGCTGTGGCAATGCACTGGACATGAGCAGGCAGCCTGGAGGAAGGCGGTGCCCCCTGTTGTCCCTGCTGGTCCGTGCGGGCTCTCTTGGGCAGGCCTAGAGATGAAAATAGCCCTTCATGCTGGTTGAGGAGGCCCCTGTGGCTTTCTTGAGATGGTGATGAATGAGCCCCAGCCCAATGGAGGCATCAAAGCCTCAGTGACAGCCCTGCCCGCCCATGATGGTTGTAAATTGTCAGGTGCTTGGCTGAAAGTGCTTCGCTTCGCAAGCTGTTTGTGAGCAAGAGGCAGAGAAGGTTGGCTAGCTGAGAATGCAACCGGGCACCATCCCATCTGCATGGGGAGGAACGGTGGTCAGAGGGCAGGGAGGGAGGGCACGGTCCCATCTGCATGGGGAGGAACGGTGGTCAGAGGGCAGGGAG